GGCGGAGTAGTTTTGAAGGACATGCAACGATTTGTGGGCAAAGGCCAAAGTTTCGCTCTGGGGTTTCCGGCAGCATCCTTGTTTCTGAGGGAATGCTTCTCTTTCATGTCTGCGCTTGATGATCTTTTGCCTACTCCTCTGTCGCCACAAGTGCGGGATGAGGTCTTGTTTTGGAGGTTCGTTGATAGCTTCTCACAGCCGATCCCCTGGAAACTAGAACGGCACTTGTCCATCACATTGTCGGCGGACGCATCTGGTCACAAGTGGGGAGGTACATAGTCTCACCAGATGACAGTATCGATTTTGGGGATTATTGGTCTGCAGACATTTTGGCGAACACCGATATAATGCTGCAAGGAGGCTCTCGCCCTATATTTTGTGCTGCTTTCAGTTCTTGATTCGCTGTGGAATCGGAGGGTGGATGTGATCGGAGATAACAGAAGCCTGGTGGATGCATGGACTGGCCTCCGAGCTAGATCCAAACCACTCACAAGAATTTTGAAGTTCATCTTTGCCCTCTCTTTTGGAGGCGAACTTCTCTCTCAAGTTGACCTGGGTACCATCTGAAGCTAATCCAGCGGATGCTCCGTCAAGGGAAACATCAAAGGCAGACGCTCGTCTATCACCTCACTTGTGGGGCTTCCTACAGAATGAGCTGGGAGGTCCAACGGTTTTCACCTTCAATTTGATGGCACTCCCATCGAATGTCCCTGCACGCAAGAATGGGAACCCGCTCAAGCTCTTTTCAAGGTTTCCGGTACCGGGTTCGGAGGGCGTAAACGTCTTCGCTCGGGCCGAAGTACTTTATGTTTTTCCACCATTTGCCTTAGTCGCCTCTCTTATCAGGCTGTTCCAGGAATGGGGAGATCTGGTCGTCACTATGGTGGTGCCGAAACATGATCAGCCCAAGGTTTGGTGGCCCCACTTGAAATCCTTTGCAAGGAAGACCATTCGCTTGTCTGAGGTAGGTCAAGCGGGTGTTGCAGAATACCCATCTTCGGCTGGATATGTCCCGAATGTCAAAGGGCTGGGGTTCGAGCTCTGGGCCTTCCAGTGCTATTTCCCAAGCACGGCCGCTCCGAAGCATGATATCTCTCACTCTAAGCGTCACTCCATTCTCCTCGTATCAGATTCGATGTTCAGAGGACTCGAAGGTTTCGGCTGGCCCAAGGCTTTGAACGCACAAATGTCAGTCAATGGAGGAGCAAAAATGTCCGCGTTATAGGAAGCTGGTGTTAGCCTGCAGAGCTTCTCAGCCGGAGGTGGCAGTTCTGCACGGAGGCATCAATGACTTCAGCCGATTGGTCGACTACTCTCAGGGTGCACAGGAAGCGGTCAGAGTATTTCGAGTGGCAGCCGAACGGATCAGAGAAGAATTTTCAAGCTGCGTATTTGTCCTCTCTTCCATCTGCCAGACCAAAATGGTGAGCGTCAACCGCTCAGTTGCCGTAGTCAACTCTTTGTTGAGAGATGTCTGTCTCGAAGCTGGCTGGCAGTTTATCTCGAATGATTACATCGGGCAACAAGACCTCGCGGATGATGTACACCTGTCGACGTCGGGATATCTAAAACTCCAGCGCAAGCTTCGGCTGTTTTTCGGATCAGTTTTGGGATTGCCATCGGGAATCGCAATAAAATGCTAAAATGTTCTTCGTCAGGCTCACCCCTTTCACGGAAGTGTTTTGTTTTCTTTTGCCTTTGTCTCTGAAGATGATCACTGTGGCAGCCAGGTTGACAGAGCTGACAAACAAGTTGGATAGCCGAGCATATGAAGTGCAAAAAAGCAGACTCGTGACGGCGTTGGATCGATTTCTGCAAGAGCAGCATGACAACGGATACTGTTGCGAAGGGGTAGATCTGGAATCGGCGACACCACATGATATCCTAACATTTTTGATAGATCGTGACTCAAAAGGTCGCACGCAAATCCACAGCTTAGGGTGTACGAATCTTGGCAAACACGGGATTTTCTCTTGTGGGTGTCCGTGTAAATTGGCAGCAGGCACTGTGGACTCCTATGTGGGACAGATAAGGGCATATTTTAATTCAATCGGTAGGACCGAAGTGTGGCGAGTAGGATCTCAGTTCGGGAACCCTTGCATTTCTCATCATGTTCGTAGATACTTGAAGGCAATCCAATTGGAGCAGGCGGAATCTCACATCACTCCAAAACAGGCAGTTCCCATGTTTTCCGACAAATTGCGATGGCTGGTGGGAGAGATTAGCAAACGATCCTTGAACCTGACCAAGGGCGAAGGTCCTTTCTCTCAACGTTATGTGTTGCATCGGGACTTGGCTTTTTTCTCTGGTGGGCCGGGGATAGAGCTGGTGACCTAGGAAGAACCAAATCCTGTGAAATTACAAGGATCAAAGGAGGCGATTTCTTATTCAATCATACTATCGGCAAGACGGTAAGAGAGGGCGAATCGTCCTTAGTGATAATTCCAAAACTGGAGGACCAGGGAGAGATGGACCCAGCTGGAGCGGTCGAAAGTATGGTCAATTTGGCCAAGTCTTTCAACTGCGATTTGAAAGATGGCTACCTCTTTCGACCCTTATCGGCAAATCGTAAGTCTCTATAGTCAACAAGCCTTTCGTCGGCAATGGACCCAACTCACGACTGAAGTTATATTTTGCATCTTCAGACTTCTTTGAAGATCACCTTCTGCGGGCACACAGTAGTCGCGCAGGGGTCGCGGCTACATTGCGACTCTTAGGCGCATCGGAGGAGCAGGTAATGGACCACTGAAGATGGGCGTCGCGGAAGACATACAAGCACTACACACAGGTGGAGAGAGTGATGAGGCGTCAGAGCACGATTCAGACCCTACGTGACGCGGTCTTGCCAGCTGAGCATGGTGCAAAGGCAGATACCGCCGGGGAATTCTATAGGCTGCTGAACTCGGGCCTTGGGGCTGAAGTAGCTTTCCCGGGGCAGCCTGCAGGTGCCCTTGATGTCACTTGTGACTGCCTTCACCTACCAATGGGACCAAACAGGCAAACAAAACAAAACAAGGAAAAATTGATTCAGTCGCCGAGCAATTGGCATAGATAAGTTTGCATATTGATTAATTTTATGGTTTACGAATTCAAAAGAAAACGAAAAAGCAAGAGAGTGTTAATGCAGGTACAACTAGTCCGGTGTCTTGTTTTTCCCTATCGGACAGGCCCATGCTTTCATTTGAGGTTTGGGTGAGGATTGGGGTGTATGTGAGGACGTTCGGGGTTTTCAAAGGCCAAAAAGGGGACAAGTTTCGGCGAAAATCTATCTCACCCATATCTAAATCCTGTAGATACCGGAGTTGAATGGAAACAAAGACGGTTGTGCAAATAAATACTATTTGCACCACCGTCGTCGTTGAGGGCAGCGTAGGATTCTACGCAGTCCCGAGTATAGTAAGGCGACAGGTTGGGAGTACTTGGAAGAGAAGGAACGAGTCAGCAAAGGACGGCATGGTGGTAGGCGTCAAAGCCGGTAAGAAAATACTTCGGCCTTGGTGGTCAGCTCCCGGTAAGTTATTTTCTTTCCCCCGCCCTCCCGACCTCCTTCCTCACTTTCCAAACTTTCCTTTGGCTTCGGTTTCTACGCAAATCTATCTCACCTATATCTAAATCCTGTAGATACCGGAGTTGAATGGAAACAAAGACGGTTGTGCAAATAGGTTACTATTTGAAAGGAAACTAACCTTATATCGTACTGTTCCCGAGAAGAGACGAAAAGAAGCGGATGTGTTTACCTCAGACACGACGAATCACGGCTCATGTTAGCCTCTGTGAAGCCAGTCGAGATTCAGCACCGCAATCCGGCCCGAAATTTGGACGGGTACCAAACAGCACACAGTTATTTTTTCCACTCGTGCGGAAAGGGACCCTGCTGATTTCATTCATCCACGTGCGCGCGGGACGAAAGCGAATTTTAATGTTTTTATTTTATTCTGTGCCCCCAAAACACGCTTAGGCCAGAAAGTAATGCCTATGAGTTAAGAGGGTTTCTAAAGAAACAAAAGCGGCAAATCCTGGACAAATTGAGAGAAAATGACCCAAATATTTGGACCCCTGTTAATTTTCAATGGACCGCATTTGCTTCTCGCCGCCAGGCCCATGCGCATGCATGCATAATTATGAATTTATTAGGCAAAAGGTCTACACCCCGCTAACGAGCAAATTGTTGGAGTAAGTTAAACGTGTAACCGCTGCAATTAAGTCGATACCAAGCACCGCTATTGCTGCACTGAAAGCAACTTGCTGTACAGCAACTAGTCTACCGAGCCAAAACTGAGTTGTTGTTGGTCGGCAAATTATTCTCTAAATTTGTAAAATAATCATTACACAATTAAACACGAGAGGACTATATTTGTCTTTCGATGTCTCATTCAAAATTGAATATCTTTTATATTGCTGAAACGAAAAGAGCAAAAAAAAACGTTTTATAGATGCATGGCAACTCTGATTTCGAAAGTAATGCTTGCCGGGCCGCGGGACTTCCATCATAAAATGCCGATAAAGATACCTTTACAAATGAATCTATTTTGTAAGCCCATTGCGATAATTGTTTCTGAAGTGTGCATTTTATGTTGGAAAAGCCACTACTTTTGAACAGAACAGTATAGCAGTGCAGCTTTGACAATACTGGTTCAATGCTTGCTTGTGTAGGCTACTTCTAGCAGACCGAGTTGCCAGGGTCGGCTGGCCAGATCAAAGCTCGAATCACTCCGTATATGAAGTGCCTTAAAGCATTGGCATTAGAGGACAAGCATGAGTATTGTATTCTTCCAAATCCTACCCTAGGTAAACACTTTCTAGTAAAATTATCTGACATTAATGTAGATATAAGGCAAAAGAGAGACATTTTAATGTCGCCCTAATGTTTTAACTACACTATTTCGGGAAGAATTTTACTGAGTAACTAAAAAGATTCCTTAGGTTGAGATTAGTATGATTGAAAAGTTTTGGTCGGGGCAAGTCTTTACAATTGGGGTTATGGGACGCACACAAGTCTATAAGGTAACATTAATGTTAAATTATATTCATTTATTATATTTTTATTTGTTCACTTCATGAAATCCATAGGTATTTTAAAGAATCTTTAAAACCTACACTAAATTTGTGCTCCGAATCTCTGTTTAACAATAAACTGGGGAAATGCTTTCTTTATTTCAAGGTGAAAAGAAAACCACAAATTGGCAAAAAGCAGTCTTAGAATAAGACGTATTAGAATAATAACTCGTCAAGCTTTGAGAAAGATTTGTCCTTCGCAAAAGAATCTTTATATAACCATATTCCAATTTTAATACTCAACCAGTACAGTCGTGGACAGAAATTCCCACATAGGCCTAAACTTTTCAATCATTTGCGGAGGTAAAAAAACACTTGCTTCTGGTTAGGTTGTGGATCTCCAAATTCTGTACATCAAAACAGCCGTAAAGCTATGTAGCTTGTATATATGAGTATACAGGGTGAGTCAAAAAGAAAGCTACCCAATTCGAAAAATATTTGTAAAATATGTGGCTTGCTCCATTTCACACCTAGCATCACAGGGATAAAGTACAGCTTATTAAATGACTTTTTACTTTGAAAATTTCACGTAATTTGCATACTCTATTTATTGATTCAATAAAAAAAAATCACAAAACTCGGCTTTTCACCACTGATCATTTGCGCTTCTAGGAACCGATGAACGCCTATTGAGTGCAATGCAACGTGGACGTTTCATTCATTGTTGTGTAAAATTTGACTGCTCTTTAATATAAAAAAAATATTTAATTTGGGTAACTTTCTTTTTAACTCACCCTGTACAAGAGACTCCACAAAAAATGTTTCGAATTTGGTAGCATTATTTAGCGGTAGCGTATTCAGGCTAAAGTAAAGGGTAGGGCAATATTTTGTCAGTCAATATTGATAAGGGGAAGGTTACTATGTCCTGTCTCCTAGACGTGTGTATAATTAGAGTTACCAGTGGGAAGTCTCTATCTAGTCAATGTACGGGGCGCACATGAACCACATCTGACGGTCGGGGCTGTCAGTCGAGCCCCGGCAACCACTGACACAGGCATCAAGGATCATGTCGGTGAGGAATTTGGCACAGAAAGAGCAGTCTGATTGGCAGAAGTCCCGCTTGTCCAGGTAGTGTGAGGATGGAGACAAGATGTCCACGACCCGTTTGGTCATCAGGGCATCGTCGAATTCGTCGTCCGCATCGACGTAGGGCATACCAATGGCTGCCTCACAGAAGAGCGCCAAGGCGCATACGCACAATATAGCTCTCTGCAGAGGGGTAGAGACAACGTGGAAAAACAAATTAACCAATTCTTAGCTTTGACCCAAGACGTCAATGATCAAAAGCGATATAGTTGCATTGATGAGGAGCGCGCTGGCATTGTTTTCTTTCCTTTTTCTCACTAAAATCTTGGTCAATTCGTATCAATGGGGGCGTGGTCATTTTATGTCAATTAGACCGTCGTCGGTGTAAATATTAATACATTCGAGCAAAACGGCAGTCTCCATTTGATACCGCAGTAGTCATGTGCTCGTGGGGGTGTATCAAGTGCGTTGCATAATAATATTTGCGATGCTTGATTACCGCACGTATAGCGCGTATGTTAAAAACCGTCCCAGGGATACCTATTAAATTGTTATAAATTCATCACTTGGAATTCAAAAAACTCACCATATTTGGTATGTTTGCTGTAGCGTTCTTGCGAGAAAAAAACGGTAAGAATGATGTTCACAAGACGTTCTAAAAGCTTCAGTGTCGTCTCGGTGTGTATCTGCGATGGGAAGCCTCAAATTCCCTGAAGAACAAGGCAAAATCAAACTATATCAAAACGTATGTTTGAATCCTGATCTAGTCAAGACAAATAGCTGTCTTTAAAAAAACACACACAAAGAGTCACGTGACAAAACAACGAGTACAAACAAGAAAATTCAGGACGTGAGCGATCTCCGATAAAATGTTTGCTAGAATGGAAAGTAAAGGAGTTTCATGTATAAAATCGCAGAAACGGCTTGTTTTAAACACCACCCCAAGTTGACCGAATTTAGTTTAGTTTGCAATCGGTTGCTATTGAGTAAATTGACAAACTTGGGACCATACCACAGGAGCCTGCAAGTCAAAAAATATCAATGCATATTACTGAATATTTTTGGAAGGGGCGGCAGTTTCACACTTTTTCAGTTTCGAAAGGTCATTTTTTTAATAACCTACTTCAGATAAATGTTGTTGCTTTGAACGGCAAGCTCTATTTCTGTTACTGAGGCCCTACCGTTCCGTTTTACTTCAGATGACGATGAGAAACTCTGGCTTAAAAATAATTCCTTAAAACCTTTACTGGCTTTAAACTTTTCTGTGAATTGTACATATCTACACCAAGAATTTATGTTGAGAAAGAAATAAACGCACAATGTATTATATCTTACGAAAGCCCTGTAGTGCCATCAAGTATATATTTTGTCCAAGTTAGTTTTTATGAGATATATTTTTCCCAAAGTTCGTTTTTACGAGAAAACGAACTTTGGGAAAAATGTATCTCATAAAAACGAACTTCGACAAAATGTATCTCGTAAAAACGAACTTTGGGAAAAATGTATCTCATAAAAAACGAACTTCGACAAAATGTATCTCGTAAAAACGAAGTTTGGGAAAAATGTATCTCGTAAAAACGAAGTTTGGGAAAAATGTATCTCATAAAAACGAACTTCGACAAAATGTATCTCATAAAACGAACTTCGACAAAATGTATTTCGTAAAAACGAACTTTGGGAAAAATATATCTCATAAAAACGAACTTGGACAAAATATATACTCGATGGCACTACAGGGCTTTCGTAATATCTGACCTTTCACTTGGCGTGACGACAGGTATCGGCGCTCGGACTCGTCAACAGATTCGTCTCGACAGGTAGGTCTGGAAAGATCTGTCCAAGGAGCATTCAACGAGAGGACAAGCAAGCCAGCTAGATACGATCGTTGTCTGTGACTAAATGAACACACTCGCTTAGCCTTTTAAACTACGCGATCTTGCATAAGCCTGCAGCCTGCCTAGCTCCTCGTCCAATAGGAGCAAAGGGCGGGGCTTGAATCACACGAACCTCAAGTCTGATTGGTGTGTGAACAATATTACTTATGCGTCGGTCCAGACATTGTGGCGCGTGTTTTTTTTTCTGTAGAAGTAGTTGTGATTGCCAAGTGGAAATTAACTTATTCCATAACAGAAATATTTTCACAGGCATTCTAAAATTCATTATATTTTGTCAATTAAGGTGGGTCATACTGTTTTCGGGTTCCTGTTCTTTGGGTAGCGTTGTTGCCTGCCCGGTCGATTGGGTTCGGAAAATCAATCGGGTTTTGGGGGAGATTTTTTTTCTGGAGTGGGGAAATTATGAAAATCAAAAGGGAAACCATCATCGGCCCCAAAGAATTGGGCGGTGCCGGTCTTATTGACATTCACAGTAAGAGGGCAGATGGAGGGCATTGGAAGGTTTTCTTTGATTATTGGATATGTTAAGCAAGTGATCGAATTGTTTAAACTGATTTGTGTTTTGCACGCAAATTCACCGTTGAGAAAAACCTCCTATTATATTATGTGGAGCTCATCCAGGCGTTCACTAATAATAATAATAATAACTGTATTTATATAGCGCTTTTTGCCAGAGGATACAAAGCACTGGGGGAGAATGCAACCAAAGCCAGGTAAATGAAGTATATGAACATTATGAGACCCATTATGTAGCACCTTTTTGCTAGGTGCTGCACTCCGGTGGTCATTTTGATTGTTCTTTTTCTAGTGTATTTGAGTCCCAGGCAGTTTCTTTGTGGAACAACACAATAGCCACCCAGGACAAAACGGTTTTCTACAGTTCCTGGCTCAAGTCCTTTGGGATGAATCACATAAAGAAAGTTGTGCGCAGCGGTGAACTTATTTCTTTCATTGAGCTCGCTAACAGGTGTGATATCCTGAAAAATATTATATGCACGTGTGGATATAATTCCGGTCATTTTTAAGACTAAACTGTTGATGGGAATGAGAAAATTGATAAGTTGACAGTTTGGCACTACAAACGGCAAAACAAGTGTATACATTCCACTTTATTGCTCTCTGGGATATCTATGTTCGTTATCTGATCCCCAGCGATCGGCACCAGCTCGACTGTTAAGTCTGCCTGAGCAGATGGCATGGGTTTCAGGTAACTCGGCCAGGCACGACATAATTATAACAGCGTCTAAATGGTTAGTCTCCTCCATAATTCCATTCTAAAAATATCCTTCTAGCCAAGATGGTTAGTCTCTTCCGTTATTCCCTTCTAAAGATATTCTCCCAGCCAAGATGGTGATAGTCTCTCCCAGCCCAGATGGTTTGTCTTCTCCATAATTCGTTTAAAAAATATCTTCATAGCCTAGATGGTTCGTTTCCGCCTTTTTTTTTTTTTTTTTTTTTATATTCTCCGCCGTCATGAGAATATATTCCTTGGCAATATGGTTGGTTTCTCTTTAAAATATACATAAATAAATAAATAATTAAAATAAATAATAAATGAATAAATACAATCAATAAATGAAATAACTAAAAATAAAAAAGTTTTTTTGGAGTGACTTTGTACACACCTGTGTACTCATTAACCCAAGTTCCTTCACTGACTATCCCTATTGCCGAGTATGCTATAATGTCTATATCTTTTATAAATAGTCGTCATGCTCATTCAAAGGCATATTCTTTGAGAGGTCGAAACCTCCTTGCTACCACGGTGTCAGATTTAACGTTTGGTATACCGTGAGGTATATCTAGGTTGTGTAAACGTTAGATTTACTCCGATCTTAACGATAACCAAGTTAACGATCATTAAAAAAGTAAGATAGAAAACTCAGGTCCGTGGTCATGGTCCGTCCATTTTGTGTTTTGGCCATTTTTGGGCAAATTTGAGGCTGCAAAAATTCATTTTTTTGCGTTATTTTCAAATGTCATCAGGCCAAACTGCGAAGTAATGTCACAAAAGTAACTGTATCACGACAAAGTATCATCCTCACCCTTACAAGAAAAAAATTGGAAACACTTCTGAAAAATCCCCTTAACATTATTTTTAGGCCCTTTAATACAGCATGTTTTTACAACTACCAAAATTGCATTTTTTACCCCATTTTTATCCCTCCGAAATGGCACTTGCCAGGGCACTCAGTATAGTATCCCTTCGGCTATGGTTAGTTCAGACATTGGTCTTTTCATATCTGGTGAGAAAATTTGGGTTATTGTATAGCCTTCAGTAGCGCTCCAAAAATGGTAAATTTCACAAAAACCTTAAAAAGTGTATTTTCAGTGTTTTCCTTTGTTTTGTGTAATATCTTGTATAATTGGTATCGTTCATGAATCTAAGACATTTTCACAAACAGAATCACACTGTGTATCATTTTTAGACCAGCGGATGAATAGTAGGTCGTGTAATCCTCCCCCCCCCCACACACACACACCTGGCTAGGCCCCGCCCACTACCCTTTGCCACCGAATTTAGATATTGTATGTTGCATAACGAAACAAATGTAAATAAAACAATTTGCAAGTGAACACTTTAGAAATTACAGAGACTTCCTTAACACAGCCTTCCCTCCCCCACCCCTGTGGCATTGCTTGGGGTTGAGGGTGGGGTGTGCCCACCCACCAATAACTTGGCTTTGTCGGTAAAATCATTGTCACATGGGCAAAAATCATGTGTTTGCAAGCCGCAATGAATATTAATGGCCATATCCATTGTCCTCTGATTGAAGTGCATCATTATTCAAATAATGTCCAGTCCTCCTCTCCCAGCTAGGCCCCGCCCCTTCCCTTGCCACCAAATTCAGATTATGATTTCTACATGTATTTTCCTAAATTTAATTGTAAATACTAGATATCAATTTGCAAGTGAACCTTTTACAATCTACACCAACAGCCGTCTTACAGCTAGCCCCCTCCCCTGCCACCCCCACTCCCAATGCTCATAAGAGAACCCCGCCCTCTCCCCCAACACGTCAACAAGTACAATTTTGTTCAGATTACATACATGCATATGGCCTTGGAGAAAGTCTGAATTATGTAAAGGTGGCTTATTTACAACACGGGGCAGCTTGGAATATCCGAAAAGCGAGGAGGAGAAGGGGTGTGTATGTCGCGGGTGTGGGTGGGGGTGGGGGAGGTGGAAAGGGTGATCTGGACGCACGCATGTACACTGTACATATTTTCTTATACAGGGTGAGTAAAAAAAAACCACGAAACCCAAATGTCGAGACCATTGTTTTAGTGAAGTTCTGCATGTAGCACTTTCGAAATCTAGGATATGAAAGCCGAATTCATAAGCTTTCTTTTCGTGCAAGAATCATTCAAAATGTACTTTTTAAGTTACGGAGTTTTAAACACATATCACAAAAAAGGTGTGTTTTCTTTCAGCAAAACGAAAACAATTCACACACATCCTTATGTGATTTGTTTTCGTTTTGCTGAAAAAACACTGAACTTGTTTGTGATCCGTGGACAGAACCTTAAAACGGCAGCTGTGTTTAAAACCCCGTAACTTGAAAAGTACATATTGTGATTTGAATAATTCTTGTACTAAAAGAAAGCTTATGAATTGGGCTTGCACATCCTGGATTTTGAAAGTGCTACATGCAGACTTCACTAAAACAATGGGCCAGACATTTGGGTTTCAGGGTTTTTTTGTTTTTGTTTTTGACTCACCCTGTATTGCAAGTTACTTTTTGAATAACAGTAAAGGTGTGGTGAACAAAATGACGTTTTTAAATTATTTTCAAAACGGAAAAGATCTGGCGATTTAGAGAGCAACTAATTTTTATTTGGTTACATGTACTTTAAAACAAGGATCACTCCAGTGAAAACTCTGAGAGAAAACAGTATCAATTTGACTGTATGAATTTCACTCTGACTTGACTACATGTACTTTAAAACAAGGATCACTCCAGTGGAAACTCTGAGAGAAAACAGCATTAATTTGACTGTATGAATTTCACTCTGACTTGACTTGGCTGAAAACATGTAGTTAGGGTCTGAAGTATTTTTTTATGTGGAAGTGTCCTCCAAATTTGTATTTGCCTAATCAACATGTAATGTTGTGACTTTTCCAAACTTTTAACAGTGGTCACCATGGTACAAATCATACTTCTGTAGTGTGTTCATTATTACCATGGCAACTGATGTAAAGACATTCGGTGCTCATAAAATAAAGTAAAAAATACTTCCATTTTCAAAACCTATCACGAACGTATTATCTTTAGACTGAAATTCATGGCTATAACAACACATGCTCAGTATGTAACGTGGCCGCCATTGGTGCGAAAAGCCCATGTAATTTTCACCTTTCAATCCGTACCATTTTCTTTGTTTTGATGTACTTTTCTGATAGTTATTACACGAATCAATTGCAGAGCATTAAATAACATCACCCTAATTTACTTCAGTTTTGTCAATTTGGGTCGAAAACCCACACATTTTTGGAATAAAATCAGTAAGTATATAGTCCCTATGGCTGTAAAATGGATGCATACAATTACCTGACTGGGATGAATATGTAGACCGATAATGTTTGTTCTAAATATAGAACCATTTACACATAAAATACAGAAATTATGCCCAAAATGTTATCTAGACAAGAGTTCGGAAAAATATTTAGAAAAGCACCACTAGTGGTAGCAGCAATAGAACCAAGAATGTCATATTATAGAGTAGTGATCAACCAATATTTTCCTGCCAAATCAGTTTTAGGAAAATCGGTCAAAGCATATGCAAATCAACATGGGGATCACCATGTGCTGTACCCCTCCCTTTCAGATAAAAAACCCAAATACCCGCCAGAAAGGGTTAAAATCTGTAAGCACTTGGTTAAGTGGGGAAGTTGATTTTTTTTTATTAACACATTAACAAAACATTTCCTGTTTGCATACAATTAATACTATAATTTATAAGCACCATATATTTAAAGTTGCTTGCCATGCAACAACGGAAGCACAACAGAAGTGTGGCCATATTGACTACTACTGATGCAATAACGATTTTGGGAGGGCATAGGAGCACCTACAACGGTACTGTATTAGAGTTTATATGTACTCGATCTGACCATAACTACACGTAGAGCCAAGACAATTCAATCAATCAAAATAGAAGCCGTTTTGAGTTTTCACTAGAGTGATAGTTGTTTTAAAGTACATGTATTTTAATACAAAAATATGAATTATTTGCTCTCTAAATCGTCATATCACTTCTCTGTATTGAAAATAATAGAATAAATGCAATTTTGTAAAAACTAATACAGCATTATGTACGATGTACATGTATCCCTATTACACCCCCCGCGCTTTCCACATATTCCAAACCATTCCCACGTTGGCAAAGAAAAATAGCCACAACTACATATAGTGCATATAAATATGTGGACTTTCCGCAAGGCAATATGTAACCTTAACAATAATACATCAGTGTTGAGATCTTTGGGAGGTGGAGGGGTCGTTGCTCATAATGAACACTGGAGTAGGAATAGGGGTAGCAGGGGGGGGGGGCTGTGAGATGGGTACGGGTGTTGGTGTAAATTATGAAAGGTTCACTTGCAAATTGATATCTATTTACAATTTTAATGTAGGCAAATACAAGGAGCAATCAAAATCTGAATTTGGTGGCAAGGGAAGGGGCGGGACCTAGCTGGGAGGGGAGGACTAGACATCACTATTTTAACTAATGGATGCACTTCAATCAGAGGACAATGAATATGGCCATTATTATTCATTGCGGCTTGCAAACACATGACTTTTGCCCATGTGACAATCATTTTACCAACGAAGCCAAGTTATTGGTGGGTGGTAACACCCCACCCTTAACCCCAAGCAATGCCCGCGGGGCGGGGGAAGGGGAGGTTGTGAAAAGGAAGTCTAAGTAATTTGTAAAGTGTTCACTTGCATATTAAATATTTTCATTTGTTTCGTTATGCAACATACAAGTTCTAAATTCGGTGGCAAAGGGGGAGTGGGCGGGGCCTAGCCAGGTGTGTGTGTGTGTGTGTGGGAGGGGGGACTACTCCACCTACTATTCATCCACTTGTCTAAAAATGATACACAGTCTGATTCTGTTTGTGAAACTGTGCTAGATTCATGAACAATACCAATTATACAAGTTATTACAAAGCATAAAAGTGAAAATACATTTTTAAGGTTTTTGTGAAATTTACCATTTTTGGAGCGCTCCTGCACAAAGGATATACAATAACCCAAGATTTTCTCACCAGATATGAAAAGACCAATGGCTGAACTAACCATAGCCGAAGGGAAATTATTCTGAGTGCCCTGGCAAGTGCCATTTTGGAGGGTTAAAAATGGGGGGGGGGGAATGCAATTTTGTTAGTTGTTAACATGCTGTATTGTAAGGCCTAAATATAATATAAAGGTGATTTTTCAGAAGGGTTTCTATTTTTTTCTTAAAGGGTAAGGATGATACTTTGTCATGATATAGTTACTTTTGTGACATTATTTCGCAGTTTGGCTTGATGACCATTGAAATTGACTCGAAAAATGAAGTTTTGCATCCTCAAAATTGCCATATAACACATAATGGCCCGTAACCATGGCAACGGGCAAAATAAAAGTTTAAAAAGTCTATTTTGGCTACTTGCTCCCCAAGCCCTTTCATCCCACACAGTATTAAAAAAAATTGAGCGAAGTATTTACACGAAATTATTCTTAGTTTGACTAGCCCGCCGCTGTTTTGACTAGCATTTGGCTAGCGGGCTACTGCTAATCTCGCATCCTGATATCATCCCTAAAAGGAAACAAGATAGACAAACATAATACAAGCCCTATATTCAATTACACAATAAACATTCCAACTCTTCAGGCCTAATTTATGACTAAAGGTTCATACACTTATGGTTAGTGACTTCACCAAACAATGAGTGCGCTATTTACCGAGTGCGACACTTAACAATAACACAGACTTATCCACAGAATCAATGTAGGATTGTCATGTGAAATTTACATCACATAAACACAGCTATAGTTGGGGAAGATTACAAAGTTCTCTGACACCACGAGGTCTTTCTATATACCGAATCTACGTCGCCATCAATTGACAAGACTGTAAGATTACAACTCCTAAAGTAACACTGGAAAGCTAATATTCTGCCTCAACCAAGATATTATGAATGTTTCCTAGTTTCTCCGGATGAACATGTTTAAAATAATATGAAATATTTATACTCAAAAGATATGAAAAACCGTCTAAAATTTACCTGCAAAGCGGCGGTCAAAGAACGACCGGCGGCGGAGTCGGGAGATTAACATAACCCGTCTCCGCCACACGGTGGCGCCCTTCGGACTCACCGCGCAATACTCAAACTGCTGAAGTCAAACTAATGTTCTAAGAGTTGTACCTCGGGGACTACAGCTACGACGATCTACAACACAGGTGATGTTTCTTTATACAAAAAAGGAAAACTAACACAAACAATCGTAATACCACAACACAATTAAATTATCATAGAACTTGGATCCCTACAATAGGTTGTAAATACTGAACAGCAATGCCTCTCTCTTTATTGATATTTGCCGGTCACTTTCGAATTCAGCAAAAATCGAAACTCACCACCTCCGAAATGGCACATTCGTAGCCTACTGCCATTTTGCAATAGGCTGGTTGCGCGCAAACAGGACGCAAGGGGACACCCTAGTAAAGGGACACCCTAGTAAACAGGCCAACAGTTCGTCCGCCGACCCTATGAATAAAAGTCAAATTATTCTATAATTATCAGAGAGTTCTGAGTCATGGAAGGGGGAATTGAAAAGATACCGGTGTGGCCGTGCAACATTGGCCGAGACTTTGGGCTTTCAATTTTGAGGATTTTGGATGCAATTGAGTTCGAAAGTGGTGCTATGTAGCCATGTTGTGGAGGAATCTTTTTTTTAAGATGGCCACTTTTCAACTTTGAGAACCATCATTCGGTTTAGGGGTTGTCTTTTTGGGGTGAGAATTTCTTGAAAAGTTAATAGTCAACCCAGCATAAATTTAAAAGAAATTGATCATGTTGATCATCATTTAGGCCCTACTGTGATGAACAGTGGCGTAGCCAGGATTTGTTCAGTAGGGGGGGGGGGGGGGGGGGGGGGGCTGGAACATTTCATGGGGGGGGTGTCATGTAGATCAATGATAATTTTTTTAGTAACTTAAGATCATTATTTTGTAAATGCTTTTCATCGAAGTTGGTTGTTTGGTTAGGTTTTGCTAACAATTTACCGATGCGAAATAATATTTATCGCGATAAAGCAAGAAAACTTAATTGCAAGCATTTTCAGCAAAGATCCCATTTCCAATAGAGCTCCTCCGTGTTGCAAAAAGTCTGCGGAATTTAATTATGCCCGCACAAATACAAAAACTTGTAAAACCGTTTTTTTTTTAGAAAAGCATATGCTGCATAAACTCCAGGGACCGTTAGAGGCTCCGTCAAGTCTATCGATAATGCACAACACCAGAGATGCGCTTCAAAAAGTTGCATCAGCCGCGGCAAATGATGACCTATATAATTAAAGGCATCTTTGTCGAGGCAGCAACGTAGTTCAAATAGAATTCATGGGGGGGTGTCATGTAGATCAATGATAATTTTTTTAGAAACTCAAAATCTCAGTGGGGGGGGGGGGGGCGACTGGGGGGGGGCGACAAGGTTTCATGGGGGGCTGTCGCCCCCCCCCCCCCCCCCGTGGCTACGCCACTGGTGATGAAAGCCTGAACACCTCTGAGAGTTCCGAGTTTTTTTCAAAGAATTTTGAAGTATGGCCATTTATCACTGGTGTCTATGGGAATTTCTATACAATTCTATCGCCGACACGTGCTTGGCACATCTTGCCAACCATCAGTTGCCAAACTATGAAAGGCCCAACAATGCAAACATGAAGAATAGTCATTAATGATATTACTACCGTTGTTGAAAATACAAATTTTTCAATAAACGCAAAAAACCCCGATTCCTAAACATGTCTTTTTTTTATGCAATGATTTTGTTTTAACCCTAAAAGGGCCCCCCCCCCTCAACTTTTTCCGCAATAGCCTTAAAAAAAATATTTTCGCGACCCGAGCTGTTATGACTTTTTAGCCTCGAGCCTTGCGCATCTTTTGAAAACATACAAATTGGACCAGGGGTGGCCGCGTTGCGAAAAATTTTCCGTCGCAGTCCGAAGTAAAAACTTAATTATGCCATATACGTCGTGTACACAGAGCAGAGTTACCATTTGTACATATGAATAATTAATTAGTTATAATACCAAAACCCTTTGACCTATTGTCATGAAATTTCTTGGATATGTTCATGATGAGTTGCTCCATGCATGTACCGAGTTTCGAAATTGTTTGTCACTCGATGGCCGAGATTTTAGGGCGGAATCCGCCCCACGACTGAGAGATGGTCAAAATAACCCGGCCTGATTAGGGTTAATATGATAACTTTTGTTGGAAAAATATATTGCCAACCAAGACTTCACTTTATGCACTTGTGGTGGCCTATATCAAATATAAATTGTTAACAAACAAGAGAAAGGTTTATAAAAAATAACTTGTCTTTAAATGCCGCCAATGGGCACCCTTTTGGCTACCAAAAGCCAAGGGCTGCTTCTAGCCGCACATACAAAGACAGTGGCTTTTAGTATTTCACAATTGTGCGTAAATTTGCCCTCAAAATTCTCTGGATTATAAAAAATAAATTTGAAAAGAAATGTTATCCTTTTGCTGGCTTGGGCTGAGACATTTAAATAGACCTTATGTGTAGCGGCCATCTTAGAAGGCATCTTTGTTATTTTAACTAAGTAACAATGAATGCACAGTCAAAGGGTTGAACTTCACTCATACATATTTCAGCAAAATAAAGGCATTGCCTAATTTGGATGTTTACGCATATTGATTTTGTTAAGTTTATCAAATATCTCTAGAAATTAGGTCTGAGGCGAAGTGAGTCGTTAGAAAAACGAGCACAAACCGCTTCACCACGTGGAACAGTAAAGGAAGAGCAGAATTTTATTATGCCCCTGCAAAAACAAAAAAGCCATAAAACATATATTTTTAGATAAAGCATATGTTGCATAGACTCCATTGACGAAGATGCTTCGTCAAACTCCATTATTAAAGTCTACTGATGCATGTATTGTTTCTATTTTTGAGTAGCGATATGTGCAGAACCAGAAATGCGCCTCAAACGTTACATCATGTGCGTTTTGCCGAGGCAGCAACAAATCCAAACATGGTAACTTAAGATCATTATTTTGTAAATGCTTTTCATCGAAGTTGGTTGTTTGGTTAGGTTTTGCTAACAATTTACCGATGCGAAATAATATTTTTCGCGATAAAGCAAGAAAACTTAATTGCAAGCATTTTCAGCAAAGATCCCATTTCCAATAGAGCTCCTCCGTGTTGCAAAAAGTCTGCGGAATTTAATTATGCCCGCACAAATACAAAAACTTGTAAAACCGTTTTTTTTAGAAAAGCATATGCTGCATAAACTCCAGGGACCGTTAGAGGCTCCGTCAAGTCTATCGATAATGCACAACACCAGAGATGCGCTTCAAAAAGTTGCATCAGCCGCGGCAAATGATGACCTATATAATTATAGGCATCTTTGTCGAGGCAGCAACGTAGTTCAAATAGAATTCACAGGGACCAAACAGTCCTTTTCATGGAAATTTCGTGTTTTTTAGGTAGGAATTTAAGGTTTTGTAATTTTTTACTCTTTAGGTAATGTAACTCTCTCTTTATAAATTTTGTTAAATTTGTGAAGCGCTTTGAGACATTTTGTGTAAAGTGCCTCATAAGTGTTATTATTATTACTATTACTACTATTATTTTGGCTTTTCATAATTTGGTTGACTAGCTGACTTTGAGAACAATATATGATTGCCAATTAATATTCATGAGTATAAAGCAGGAAGAACAATTCCTTGAAAGCATTTCCAACAAACAGTTGTGGACAGTTCACCCTCTCCTTCAAGAGACATTATGCATTGAGGCGGAGTTATAGGTTGCAATGCTTTAGTATCGCTTGGATAGGCATGAGTAAAACTTGTGTGCATTCATTGTTAATAAATTAAAAAATAACAAAAAGCGTCCTCTGATACACACGCAACGCATAAAGTCTATAGGGCTCTCCCGTGTTGCAACAAGTCTGACGTCCTGTGTCGAGAACATGAAATATTTTGGTTCTATTAAATGGCAAGAGCCAACGACCACCATTCGGTTGCCTTAGTTCTTCTTTTATGTTGACGAGTGATCGGGCACAACCCAATCACCGACCGACCCCCCCCCTCACTCTGACACGCCTATAATAATATAACATATATAAGGCGTTTCATTTTTATTTTCATTTTATAATATAACATAATATAAGGCATTTTTATTTTCATTAAAGCACACGTCCTTTTTCATTAGTACATGTACGTAGCGTGTCCGTTACTATTACTATTACTATTTTATTTCTCGGGAAAATATCAACAAATACATGTAAACAAATGACTAAAGTTACAACACAAAACAACAAAAGCTTTAGATACATAAACAAACAAACAAAAACAAAATACCATTCAGCTCCCAAAGGATTGCCCAAAAGAAACGTTGTTTCTGTCTAGGGGTTCTCCAAACTGAATGGCATACGTGAAAACAACAAGCAATAAATATAAAAAGAAATTTTAACTATACAAAAAAAAAAAGTTAAATAAGTTACATTAAGTCAAGAACAAAGTTGGTAAATTATATAATTATTAGACAAACAAATCAAAAGAAAAAAAAATCAATTACATTTGTACTAGGTAAATTAAATGAATAAACAAATTAATATATACATTGTACTTCAACTACTACCACTACTACATGTACTACTACTACTACTTATATTAATAGATAAATAAATAATTAGACAAGTTGGTAAGTTAGCCTAATTAATTAATTAATTAAATGAATGAGTAAATATTGCATTTTTAATTCTTTAAATAAATAGTTATTAATAAATAAACAAAAATTACAGTTTTACAATAAAAATTTAAAAAATGATTCATAAAAAAAAAAAGTTTTCATTATATGAAGGGGTTGAAGAAGGTTAGATAAATAAGTTCAATAAAGTGTACAGTGTAAAGCAAAGCTTGTGATTATTAATTGTATTAATGAAATTTGAATACTGTAACAAAATCGCTGAAATCAAATCAATATACATCACCAAGCTTTAAAGGGAGAGATAAAAAAAAAAATAAAAAAAAAATAAAAAAAAAAACAACAAAAACACAACCAAAAAACATCGAACAACCCATCAATAAATATGTACAATAATAAATAAATACATACAAAAAAAATTGAGTACATATTTCATGTCTAATATTTGTAATTTTTAATTAAATAATCAAATAATTAATTAAATAAATAAATAAACAAGTAAATAAATAAATAACTTAATAACTACATAACTAACTACATAACTAAATAACAAAAAAAAAAAAAAAAAAACAAACAAACAAACAAACAAACAAATACATACAGTCCGTTCCGATCTTCCGTCAAAATCGCTCCTTATAGTAATAATAATTACCTTTTATGTCCGCCTGTCGGCAACAATCGGACAAAAACATTTGATGGGCCTAACACCCCCCCCCCCTCCCCTGCAAAAATTTCCCTGTGTTATAGAATTGGGTGGTCGGACTGATTCTAATCGCCCTTTGCTTTTCTATCAGTTCTTCTTCCATCGAATAGATCCTGATTTCACTCGAATTTCAAATAAAAGTGGTTCTCTTTCAATGAACGTCGATTTTAAACTAGAATGATTTCCACTCTCAATCGTCCGGACTTGGATCGCCATAATGCATTCAGGAAGGCTTACTACGTAAATTAATTGATAGTGACAGGAAAAAAGAGCTAGTGACTCCTGAAATTCTTTTGGGAAAGCTGCTTAATTTGCATGAATCGTACATAGCTGCTATGTAATAGGTTTATTCCCATATCTAATGAGTGTAATCTCCTGTAGTCAGTTTATCATATTTTGCCCTTGTGGGCTCCGTGCGCCGACGAAAGAGGGGGCCCTTTTACCTAGCAACGACGTCCCATGGGCGGGACGCGTAATTTTTTTCCTAGGAGGGTTAGGGGCAATGTCATGAATAATTCATGTTTATCCATGAGAACGGACAATGACATCAACAGCATTGTTGTTAGTTACTCAACTAGTTACAATACATTAAAGCAGTTTAAAGAACGGTTGTCGTCGAGCAACCACACAGTAGCCTAGTGGATAGCGAGATGAGCTATGGATACAAAGATCCCTGGTTCGAATCCACGTCGTCGCTGCTCATTTTCATCAGCTATTTTTCTTCTCCAAATTTATCACTGAGATAATTTTAAATTAAGAGAAAAATAGAGTCTTGCAATGATTCAAACGAAAAACTGAATTATTCATGACATTGCCCCTAACCCTCCTAGGAAAAAAAATTACGCGGGCGGGACATTTCGCTGGTTGACACGCACCGTTATTTGTGTGTGTCGGACGTACCCCAGGGGATTTGTACTATGTACACGCAGTGACTGCGCTTCGCGGCAAATGAATTGTAGTCAGGCAACATGGCGTCGGTGGGTCACCCCCAAAGTACCTTCTCTGCCGGTGAGGGTGTACTTGTGAACGGAGCGGATAGTAAATTATGTTCTGATCAAGCAGTCACCACACATCTGCACGTGTATGAAACACACCAGATTATTGTTTTCGTCCTGAAACACGTCTGCCCCCCCCCCCCCCACTTTTTTATTCACCATGTCTCTTTGATTTTTTTTTCAATTATATTTGAGGTGATCGACTGTCGCATCACACGCAAAAGCACCCAACAAACGGTATGACCCAAAGGGCATTTTAGAATGCTCATCAAAATATTTCTCTCATCGAAATAATATTTATTATTTTCCATTTGGTAATCACAATGCATTTTCTTCTACAGATAAAAAAAAAACCGCGCCACAAGTCACCGATGAAATATTTACAAATGTCTGGACTAACCCACAAGAAATACATACTGTTCACACACTTGAACCAATCAGATTTCGGTTTCTGAAGATTCAAGCCCCGCCCTTTGCTCCTATTGGACGAGCTAGGAGGCAGGCTTTCGAGCTCAGCTATTGGTCAGAGTTTTCTGTCTGTGCCGGATGATGTAATAAAATCGCGTAGTTGTAAAGGCCGGTGAGTGTGTTGGTGCAGCCACAGACAACGATCGTATATAGCTGGCTTGCTTGTCCACAGATCTTTCCAGACCTACCTGTCGAGACGACTGTCTGTTGACGAGTTCGAGCCCTGATATCGTCACGCCAAGTGAATGCTTGAAGACCGGAAAATTGAGGTAAGATATCTGACAGTGTGCGTGTTTTTTTTCTGAACATAGATTTTAGGAGTTGATTATTACATTTGAAGGTAAAGTTTAAAGCCAGTATAGGTTTTAATGAAACTTTTTAAGCCACAGTTTCTCACCGTCAAGAAAGAACAATTGGTTTTCAAATTTCGTGGAGTAAAGCTTAAAGGTAAGGGGAACAGTAGCAAAACCATTTTTTGTGCCGTTCAAAGCACAATAACATTAATCTGAAGCAGGTTATTAAAACAGAGTGGCCTGTCGAAACTCCGTAGGATATCATACTTTTTGGGAAAGTTTGAAAATTCCTTCCCTTTCAAAAAAGTTCATTAAGGCCAAAAAAAATATATTCGGTCTCTGGTCAGACCAAAGTTCCGGAATTGACGCGGCGACGCGGCTTTTTTTCCTTCTTTTTTTTCATTTCTTCAAGCTTGGATTGTACAGACAAGGTGGGGTACTACTTTGCTTTTTTGGTGTCCTCATGTAAATTGGTGTCCTTCATAATTTGCCTTGGTGCTCTTGATCATTTGCCGTGGTGCAATTTCCCATTCCTTGGTGCTCTTTGGTAAAAAAAAATGAGGAGGTGCGGCAAAAGAGGGCGCTGTTTGAGCTACCGCGGAACATTTTGGAAAAAAAAAGATTGACGCGCATGATTAAAATCGACGCGCGCGCTGACCAGAGACCGACTTATTTTTTTTTTGGCCTAATATGCATTGATTTGTTTTGACTTGCAGGCTCCTGTGGTATGATCCCAAGTTTGTCATTCAATCAATAGAAACCGATTGCAAACTAAACTAAAAATGTAGGTGCTTTCGAAATATCAGAGAATTGACTGATTTTTGGAAAGGAAGAGTGATACTGACAAAATATCTCTTTTGGTGATGAAAAAAGGCAGTTCATGGTAACTTACTGTTTTTCAAAAAATGTAATATCCACTGATCTGAAACTTTTAAAGTGTAGGGCTTTATTCTTTTTGGATGTTGAGTGATGTTTTTGGAACTACACACAGACATGAAAAGCAAGTGAATAGTGATCCTCTATGTTGTTACAAGTCGTTAACTTTAGTAAATGTGATAACATGTATTCAAAGAGTTCATTGGAACGAGATGAACATTTCTCTATTAAAGATATAGTCCATCATTTGTAATTTGTGCATTTTGTTCGTTTGAAGCAACAAAAGTGTTCAAAATCTAATGAATATAAACGGATACTGAACAACTAACCTGACGAAGTTTCAGCTCAGCTTCAGCTGTATATGCCGAGAAAAACAGCATTTTAGGATCTCAATTTCAAGTCAAAAATTGCTGAATCATGTTTTGAATTGTTTTGAATTGCAGTTGTACGCGATGTCGCGCACTGAACCGACGAATTATAGCAACTGCGCACGCCTGTGCGTCGTGACAATGCTTGCGCGCGCTTCGCCGAATAACAAAACGAACTACTAATTTAAATTTTCCTACGGTGCGTCTTGAGACGCACCGTTGGAAAGGCCTTCTTTTGTTGATTACTTCAAAATGATAGCTTGCCAGAAAGATTAATTTCACAGGGAGTTTAGTCCTCTTCCTATCTTTCAACCAAGTATGTTTTTCAACAATAAATACGCCAGTTACTTTTTCGGATGGCTGCAAATGATGGACTATAGCTTTAACAGAGAGACACTTAGTCATAAGTATCTTTTACAAAAAGCGATAAAGCGATAAAGATATAGAGTAGACAGGAGTTATCATATAAGACTAAACTTTACCGGACAAAAGACTTGTTTCCTAAAACCTCCATATCACACCATTTTGTTTTAACAACATTGGGTTGGCCACCGACAGACATTGCAGCTGAATCCTTATTGTTTTGTTGTATATCCTTTCTTCGTATGTTTTCTTCAATTCTTCTTATTAATGTGCAGGGTGAGTAAAAAAAAGCGGAACCCAAACCAAAAGAAATATATTTCATATTTAATAAAATGTATGAAGCACCAAAACTAATAATGACTGGTAAACTAATTTAATAAACTACATGAAGGCCTACTTTTTGATTAAAAAAAATGCAATTGCTCAATCCGTTCAAGTCATAAAACCATTTAAAGGAATTTTAACGAAATGACCCTAAAATCAGGTTCGTCACAAAAACACCCCATTTTATTGTGTGTTCTGACTGTTTGGAAAAACAAAGAAAATGACACAGAATACTTGTTTCTACAACAATTGTCCCCAAATCTTCATTAACAACCCTGCTTTGGCTAACAATATAATTTATAAAATACACTCTTTGTGTTAAGACGGGCCTTCAAAAGGATTTTGTTGAATATTTTATCTTTAAACTTAGGTTTTATCACTGGTGATGTTTGAAGACAATTGTAACGACAATTCTTGAAATCGCATTTTTTTCATGCAGAATCCGCCCCCCCCCCCCCCCGGCTGAGAGATGGTCAAAATAACCCGGCCCTTTTAGGGTTAATGGTTACGTCTTGATAGTCAGAAGACCCATTGGTCCGAAGTCCCATTGGTCCGAAGTCCCATTGGTCCGACGAAACATAATACTGTTTACTTCAACTTGTTCAGGTTTACTGGACCCTAGCCCTAGCCCTAACCCTAACCCTATGGGGCGTCGGACCAATGGGACTTCGGACCAATGGGACTTCGGACCAATGGGACTTCGGACCAATGGGACTTCGGATCAATGGTACTTCGGACTATGGAGACGTCCCCAGATTGGTTTTAATACCTATGCTTTGATATAGTTTGATTTCGTCTATTCCTTCAGGAGAGTTTGGGGCTGTCCATCGCAGATAAACACCGAGACAACGCTTGTAGAACGTCTTGTGAACATCATTCTTACTTTCTTCGTCGCAAGGGCAACAGAAAACATACAAAAAATGGTGAGTTTCTTAAATTTAAAGTGATAAAATTACAACAATTTAACAGCAAAGCTCATCTGTATCGTACCAATAAATCTGTAGTTAAAACTGTCAAAATCATAACTTTCAATTTGCTTCAAATGACTTAACAATCATGGCCTGACATCTTTTTTTGTAACTTCAAAGTCTGTCCTGTGATGTTTTTTTGTATGCTAGAAGAAACTAAGCGCATAATAGCTATATACTAATTTAAATAGGTAAGCCATGGAGATTCATACAATCTGCCGTGGTATGCATAGGTAAAATAATCTTTTAAAGTTCTTTGTGTTTTCACTGCTCAACAAATCTGATCGGAGATGTGACACTTCATAAAGATGTGACTCTCGACTTTTCAGTGGTGTGGACCAAGTTGAACATCTAAAAATTTTCAAGCGATTTCCTCTGCAACTCGAACATTTGAAACGACCGAAAATTAACAAAAAGAATACTTGTACTTTATGCGCGAGATCGGGTATGAAGCGAATTAAAAACATCGTCAAATAGTTCCATCCACTAATTGCGCGGCAACATCTCATGAATGCCTTCAGGCCTTTAGAAAAACTTAGTACTAAAAATGTAAATCATTAACGGGAGCGACTGTTCTTTTGTAGGTAAAACCAGAGGCGCAGCTGGGGGGGGGGGTCCCCCTCAATATTTGTAATGATGCCCTTTTCCATTCAAGTTTCCTTTTTTTCACCAGAGTAGATCGACCCCCTCACCCAATATTTGTAAAAAGTGTTCTTTTGTTTTAAAAAAGTTTTCCTTTTTTTTTAAAAACAAATTCGTGTTTTTGTTAAACAAGTGCCCTGTTTTACAAGCTTCCTTTTATGAGCGCCCTTTTCGATTGTTCGAGCAACTGTTGTCAATATTGTGCTGCACTGAATAGCGCCATCTAGTGTCCAATAGTGAGCATGATCGTCCGATTCGAACAGCGCCCCATTAACCCGAGCCCCTACTTTGTACGCAGAAAAAAAAACTTGTCTAATTTCAGCACAGATGTGGGAGTGCCCTTTTCACGAACCTTTACCCCCCCCCCAATAAAAATGACCTTGCTACGCTTTTGAAAGCTGAATCTGTAAGAGACAGAATTGAAGAATTAAACACCACAGTCTGTCTTTCCATAAAGAATAAAGTCCATTCAAGTCAATTTTAAGCGCAGCATTGAAGTATTTTCGAAGTACATTTTGCCGATGAAGAGAGAAAAAAAGAAGAAGTGCATTCACCGTTCTTTTTAGCAGGCGTGTAAGGATTCTGCACTATTGCCTATAAGCAATGGGAGGAAAAACAAACACAACACGGACTTTATGAAAATATATTCCCACGTGTTTACTGACCCAAGAAGTTGATTAATTGATGATGCAGATTTCAAGGTTGCTCTATACAAAAAATACAGGCATTATTAAAGACTGACAGATGAAGAGCAACAGTTGGTTACACTCATTTCTAAACCTGATCGGTAATAAACGGCCGAGTAGTCAAATCTTAACATACGAACTTTTGTTATCGATAATTATAGTCTTGAACATGAGCGTCATCAGTAGGCCTACTTTCTTCTGGGGGTCGCCAAAATCCCCCTCCATCTAACTTCTTTGGTCGCATTATATTGAAAACTGAAAACACTGCTGCAACCTGCTTGCAGACTGGGTTTCCCTAATTAAAACAATTGGAGCAACTGTTCGGCCGGCCTCAGGTCGACCACCGATTTGATTGAACCACGAAGGAACGAGCCTTTGTCAAGACGTTCAGTGTTAACGTCCGTGATGGTAGTCTAGGGGCTAGACGTTGTTATGGCTTGATGGGTGCAGACCTGTAAATCGGTCCGAAATTGCCTACGCCGGACAAATCACGATTTGCATGCCTTCACATTCTCCCTTGTTATAGCATTTTGAGGGCCGTGAACTTGAAGATTTGTAAAAAGCAAGGGTGGAGGCCGTGCACTTGACTACAATGTGAGCTTATATTTCTGTGAAATTTGGATGAAATTGGGCCCTAAAACCGCTCTATTTTCGTTTTCAAAATGACGATGAGCTTCAGGACTGTTTTAGGGGGTGATTATCTTTGGATGGAAAATTCTCCCAAAGGTAATTGGATAAGCCCCAAAAACTGCGATCTTAAACAGCTGCTGCAGCCAGATGTTTTTATACATACATGATACATTACCCAGAATGTCACCCCCAAGGCCTTCACCAGATTCTGTGAAACTCATCATCCCGTCCCAGCGCCCTGTTTGCAGGGGGTTGGGGTGGGGTGTTACGAGCGAAGGTTCGTGGGTGACATTGGTTGGTCGTGATAACGCCCTCTCCCAGCTGGCGGGTTTAATAAATCACGGCGGCGGGCCCCTAGCTGGACTACCGCTTAAAACGTCAACACTTGCCGCGCGCTATGCACTGTACAATGAACTATCGATGAACGCCTTGGCTAGTGGCTAGTTCCATCGAGGCGCGCGATTTTTTTTCTATACCATACAGTTTATAATGATTATTGTTAACATGATTGTGGATTCTCTCTTTGTATTTTATTCAAATTCCAAGAAATGGAAATGATCCCCGTTGATCTTCCCAGATTTGCAGCATTGCTATTGATTGTTTTCGCATCTTGACTTGTTCATGATCTCTTGGTGCATGGCAAAAACGGGCAGCTTCTGAGTAACCCCTTGAACAGAGACGTAGGACCATACAAATTAATGCACGCAAGGGATGTAGTCCAGTCAGGCCCAGATTAAGTGTTTCATAGGTGGCACCAGTGTTCCGTAGGCCCTAGCTTCTCCGCCCTAGGCACCGGCACCAAAATCATGCTAATGTATTAAAGTACAAAGCACTGTACAAATCAAGCCGCGCCATGCCAAACTGGTGAAAGCCCTAGCTCTAAAAGCCTGTTCAAGGTCACAAAGGGCGTCAATCGATTCTTAAACGTGAAGGTTGCTGCATAGCATGCATAGCCTGCATGTGTATCTTGGTCAGAACTAATGCGAGTGCAAAGCATAAACAGCGTGGGGTTCGGGGCCCGCTTAACCCTAAAACGGCCGGTGGGCGGAATCCGCCTCCACCCCCCCCCCTCAACTTTTTCCGCGATATCTTCGAAAAAAATTTTCGCGATCCGAGCTGTTATGATTTTTAGCATCGAGTCTTGCGCATCTTTTGGTACCAAAAACATAAAGATTTTCAAAACTGAGTTTTCCCATTATACGTCATGTACACAGAGCACAATTACCGTTCGTACATATGAATAATTAATTAGCCATAACCCCAGAGCCCTTTGACCTATAGTCACAAAATTTCTGGGGTATGCTCATGATGAGTTGCTCTATGCATGTACCGTGTTTCAAAATGTTTCGTCACTCGATGGCCGAGATCTTGGGGGGGGGGGGCGGAATCCGGTCCCCCCCCCCTCCCGGCTGAGAGATGGCCAAAATAACCCGGGCCTTTTAGGGTTAAGGGGGCCGGGGAAGAAACTTATTCTAGACGCTCTATGGCGCGATCTGAGGCAATTTCTGACCACTTTAACCAGTTAAAAGCAAAAGATCTAATGAATCAAAATATAGGCCACATTTTTTTTTAATTCGGGGACGAAAATAGTTAGGGGAACGACATTTCCCCCCATCCCCCACCGATCGACGCCCATGGTTGGCACCGTGCTTCAGAACGACATAGGGCCTACTTAAATTTTATACGTAGGGGCTACATACGCCTATAGTGTACAGCGTCAATTGGTGAAATCGAACACTCTGAGAGAGATCCTCAAACTGTTTAAAAACTTAAAATCCGGCCCCCGGATTTTTCGTTTCCGGCCCTAGGTACAGTACCTACTGTGCCTATTGGATAATCCGGGCCTGAGTCCAGTCCATCTCAAGTTCATCGCAAGTCCAGTCCGACTAGTCACAAGTAATTCATAGGTTCATTAACAAGTGCAGTCACAAGAAACAATGGAAGGAACAAAGGAGTGCCTTTGTCAAAGCTCGTTTGAATAGCTTGTGAGTTGAACTTGGACAGGGGAACTTGTGATGGACTTGCAGGCAGAAGGTCTGATGGACTCCTTTACATCCTTAGCGCGCACATATTGTGTATTTCACCGGTGCGCCTATGTATTCCGGAGCACTAATTCCGCTCCAATCAGTGTCCTTTTCAAGCACAGAACTGATCAGTTCCTTTGTTTCCATGTTGTCTCTACCCCTCTGCAGAGAGCTATATTGTGCATATGCGCCTTGGCGCTCTTCTGTGAGGCAGCCATTGGTACGCCCTACGTCGATGCAGACGACGAGTTCGACGACGCCCTGGATATGACCAAACGGGTCGCGGACATCTTGTCTCCATCCACACACCACCTGGGCAAGCGGCCGGTCAACTGCCCGCTTGACTGCTTTAGCTGTGCCAAGTTCATCCGCGACGTGATCCCTGATCCATGTGTCCGTGGTTGCCGGAAAGAGACTGATAGCCCGACTTACACAACTGACCTTGAAACGTGGTATAGGTGCGCCCAGTTTCTGTCCAGGCCCCGTTGATTACTCTAACATTTTACACACGTCTAGGACACAGAATAATTACAGGGTGCAACAATGCAAAAAAATCCTCATAGCCATTAGTGCTAAATGCCCATACTTCAAAATTCTTTTAAAAATACTCAGAACTCTCACAGGTATTTAAGCTGCAGAGAAGAATGATGATCGACATGTCATCTTTCAATTTCTTTTCATTTTTTGGTGGGTTGACCATTGACTTTTCGAGAAATTCTCGCCCAAAGAAGACGACCCCTATTTTCCCCAAAGCGGAACGGTAGCCATCTTGAAAAACGATCCCTCCACAACATGGCAAAATAGCGCCGCTTTCGAGCCCAATTGTATCCAAAATGCTCAGAATTGGAAGCCCCGAGTCCGGGCCAGAGGTTCATTGCCATATCTCTTCAATACCCCCAATGTTATGGCTCTCAGAACTCTCTAATATAGAATATTTTGAGGGTATAACTTTTATTCATGAGCTCGGCGGATGGGTTTAGGCCTATTTACAGGTGTGCACCCTTTAGAAACCTCCCCTTAACAACATTTACTGACGAAAAAGTGCCCCAGCCTTAAATTTAGCCTGAGAACGTATACCGCTGTACGGGTGTTTTGTTCAGTGCAGAATATTGATGAGCGACTATGGAGCGTCAAAAGTGGACAACCGTATTTTTCCATTTTCTGTTAGTAGATTTGTTTTGGGGTTTTTTGAAATTGCAAAACTGGATTTAATTCACGGTGCCTCAAAAGTGGACAACTAAAAACCTTAAATTCTTACTAGCGAAAATTATGATGGTCCAAAAAGTGGCAGAAAATTTAGATTTTTAAAATCCGGTTCAAAAAACATAAAATTCTACTAGCAGAAAATGGGAAAATACGGTCGTCCACTTTTGACGCTCCACACAGCGACAGCCTATCCACCAGAAACACGTTTTTTTACCTCCGCAAATGACTGTCTGAACAGTTTATGAATGAATTATTGTCAACGACTGTACTAGTTGAGTATCAAAATTGGAATATCGTGATGTCGATTCTTTTGCGGAGGACAAATCTTTCTCACAGGTTGGTCCAGTTATTATTCCAGAATATTAAAAGTATTAAGACTGCTTTTACGAATAAGGTCAAACGAAAACCACAAATTGGCAAATATGTTTTGAAATGGGTGAACAAGACTTCATAATTTTCCGTGTTCTATAATTTGAATATTTTATTAAGATTTGCTGATTTTATTGCATTAAAATTTTACCAACGTTGAAGAACGTTTACGGCTGATTGAGTGCTGTTGAGGTTTTAGAGGTGTCTGTGGATAATTATTGTCGTCGTTTATTGTGAACTAATAAAAGAAACTGTCACGAAGCTCAATTTGATGAGGATGGTCTGATTGTGCAACCATAAATAATTTCGACACTTGTGTTCAGGGGTTATTATTAGTATACATGACGGAACTGTATGTTCCAGCGACCATCTTTATGTCTAATTTATAAGCAGACATGCATCGTTCCAAGACCTGTCATTAGCACGAATTCAAAACTGGATGAGCCATAAACTCAATGACCAGTTGAAACTGGATAAGACATCCAAGAAGTTTCAAGAAAACGTACAGGCAGGGCATGGGCCTATGCATTGCACCTTAGCGGCCAATTTTTATTAGCTGTAGGGAAGGAAAGTTCGCATATGAGAAGGAAATGGTAACAGCAGATCCGCTGACCACTAACATACACGTTCGGAAACTCAATCCCTAACAGTCCTGAATCCTCCAAATTCAATATGATTTTGCACACCCGCTAGGGAGTTAGGGCAACTAAAGTGAACTCGATGCGCAATAATTAAAAGCATTGGCGGCCGTCTATCTCAATTTTCGCAAAGATGCCGAGGTGGCATACTGTTGTTTTGGAATCAGCAGGCCAGAAAGGCCCAAATACATCAACAAAACAATGTTAAAACCCTGCTATTTGGCCACTACCGGACACTGGATTAAATGGATCGCTGTTAAGTCTACCTGAGAGTAAATAATGTGTATAATCATTATAATGAAGACCGTCATCATGGTGGCCATCTCGGATATCTCAATGATGCCAACTTGCCACTTGCAGTTTTGAGTCAGCAGGCGTTATAATCCTAGAAACCATAAAAAGGTTTTTGACGGTAAAATTTGATCATGATCGGATCCGTCACCAGACAAGAATTGTTTACTCGTACACCTGTCAGCGGCCAGCTTAGCAGCCGTTTTGAAAGCCATCATCAGAGGAGGGAAATGGTACAAATCCACACATGACGTGCACCACATTCCGTATATAAGTGTCAGAGTTATGTGTGAGCACATAATCATTATGTATAATACTGGCAGTCATCTTGGTGGCTAAGTTGGATATCTAAATTTCTCCAAATATACCGAGTTGGCATCATGCAGTTTTACGATCAGCAGGTCTCAAAGGCCAAGAACCACGTAAAAAAATAATGCTTGAACTATCTGGTCCGCTGACGACAAGCAGCTTGATTCGCACGTGCTGTACAGGGTGGTCCAAAAAGAAATGGAAAGGCGTACTACCGTCATGAGACTCACTCAAACAACCTATACAGTCGTTTTCCTAGTTCCGGATAGCAAACATCATTCAGGCTGCTTTCGGCTCAACTACTCCACGAATTCAAGTGACACTGGTTTAAAAGTTTACCTTGACTGATGGAGAGACTACAAAATAATTTCCCAAATTTAAGCTCTTTTTATTGTGACTTTACGACGTCAAAAGTACCGATGCCGCTTTTCCTAGTTACGGATCGGTTCAATCAGTTCCGAATCGATCAAAAACTGATTCGTGCGGGGAAAAAAATCACGCGAGAAAATCAATTTTTCAGCCAGAACCACCCCAAATCAAGCACATTTTCTGATAAAGTATTATTTAATTTTCCAAAAAAGTTCATTCAAGAGAATTCCAGCAAATTTTCAAAAGAGAATTAACGTAAATAATTTTGAAACGTTTGTCTGCAGCTCAACGGCACGAACTCGCGCACGGACCGAAAATCGATTAACGCGCGTGTAGTTGGGTCGTAGGTGCACGCGCGATCCGGAACTAGGCAAAGGCATACGGTCATTCGTTGGCGAATTTTCAAATATTAGAGACGCTACAAATTATTTTGATTGAACACACATTCGATGGAAGAGTTTATACGACTGTAGTGAATGAAAAAAATATTTGAAACCACACGGTACGAGAGAAATACCGAGGAGAAAATTTATCGTCGATTCGCAGCTCCCATGATTTTCTTCAAACGTGTCAAAGTGCGAGTCGGAAATCTGGCCAAAATTCCTTTTCTAAAAGTTTTATCGAAAAGATCTGTGTGTATCGGGAAGCTTACATTTTCCTTTTCAAAATGCACTTCGTCAGAATTTTTTTTTGGGGGGGGGGTTGAAAAGGGCACTTGCTCATCCGTTGTGAAATGTAGCAAGTTTTTTTTTCTCCGGACACTTGGCCTCCCTAAAATAAAAAAGGGGGGAGGAGGGGGAGGGGGGGGGAGGAGGGGGAGGGGGGGGCTGGTACCATCTGTCGATGGGGGCGCTGTTCAAAACCGACAATTATGCACACAAAGGGCAAATATATGGTGCTTTTTGGGCGATACATGTGCGAAATTCTGAAAAAGGTCCCCAAAACGGCAGATGCCACAAAAAAGGGCACCACTTCTTTTTTGAAAAGAGCACTTGTTCAGAAAAAAAAGGCACTTCGTAACAAAAGGGCACTAATTACAAATTATTGGGTGGTAAGCACGTAGAAAAAAAGGGAATTTGAATGGAAAAAGGCAGTCTTTACAAAATATTGGGGGGGGGTAAATACCCCCTTACCCCCCCCCCCCCCCCCCCCCCCCGGCTACGCCTATGATGTACTGCCTTTAATTGAAGTAAAATACTATACTACCTGTCCATGTGTGCTTCAAAACACATTTTTTGGGGCCGGATAACATATGCCGACATTTACAAGAATCTCACAAACATCGGATTTGCGTATCACATCATGGAACATTTTTAATTAACTAGCAGGACGCCGCGTTTTGCATGGCAACCGCTAGCTGGGTGGAGTCATCATTATACTAATGTTTACATTGACCCCTAATTTGCATGCGGGCGTGGTAAACCTTGGTGAAGCAATTTTGTTGTTGTTCATCACCAACGCTATGCTTTGCGTAACGATACGTTTTGGAGTGTTTTCATACAGATAATGTTGCAATGTTTAACTTTTCAAAGTCTGAAAGAAACAAATTTGAGGACCTTTATACCATAACCAAGCCTCTCCATTAACCATTGCATTTTGTGCTTGCACTCACTCTTCAGGCCTTTTTTACCACACAAAAAAGAGACACACAGACATCAGACAGACAGGCAAACAACGTAGGATCTTTTAATATATGATATAGGCCTATTCACATGTATAGAGGACACGTTTAATTTGGAAGAGCAGTTTGTTAAGCTCTGTCCAATATTAATTATATCTCTTTTATTTCTTCCAACTAATACCCCTCTCAAAAAGATTCAAATCCATGCAAATTTTAAAGGATTTTTAGAACCTACACGACATTTCGTCGCAGAGCTGACATACCGGCGAATCGACGATTTTGGCGATATTGAGATTTCTGGGTGTTTAATGGTTTTGGTTGCTCCTTCAAGTATTTATGACAAATTTCTTAATTCTTGTCTGGATTTTGAGATTCAGAGCCCCGCCTGTGACGAATCAGTCACAACGACAAATCCATAATTTGACATAGTGACGAATACGAAATTTAGCTGATAACTAGCTAATGTACACCTTGTACGTTCAAAGTACCAACGAATGTATTTCGTCAGTTCGTCGGATTGCTCGCGCGTGCGCGCGCGATCTGACGAACTGACGAATAGAGATTTGGTAATTTGACAAACCGACGAATACGTTTACGATCAAATAAAAAAATATCGCACACCTTCTCTAAATAATTAAGTAACCTGAATGGATACTGGGTTTCCTATTTTATTTTGAATATAGACCGAAAGGGTTATTATCGAAACATTAAGGGTAAAATACGACGCCAAAAAAAATGTCCAACTTCAAACGCTAATTAATTGAATCGAGTTTTCGCTATCCGTCGGTGGTATGTCAGCTCTG